CCCGCGCCGTCAGATACGGGCCGGCCCCGGCCCTGCCCCACCTGGGCACCTTGGTGCCAGCCCCTCCGGCCAGGGCCGCCCCGATGCCCCCTATCAAGCGGCACAAGCCCACGGTGCCGGTGAGGACCTTTCCTCTGTAGCCCTTGGCTTCTTGCTGGGATGGGAGGGAGGGAAGGGAGTCAAATCGGCCCTGTTTGCTGGGGGCTGGCAGGGAAAATGGAACCAAAATGGAGCTCTGGGAACACTGAACTCATGAGAAATTGCTGACGAGTTTTCATAAGAAGTGAAGGAAGGGTTTTTTTTACCAGAGTTTAAAGGCAAACTTCCTGCGAGGATGTTTGCTTGCTCTTCTAACTAAAACATCCTTCTTTTTCCTGACAAGCAAGTCATCTTGTTTGATTTTCAATCAAAACACTTCAAAGAAAAAGTGAAATAAGTGTTTTCCCTCTTTCCTCTCCATTTTTCTCCATCTAGCAGATACAGATGAGGTTTACACAGTCATTGCTGGAGATGGCTTTGTAACAGAAACCTCAATCCATCTGATAAGCATCATGGGCATCAGGGGAGCACCCTCCTGCCCAGGGTGCTGCGTTGCCTGTCTGTGGGCAGTGCTGCCTCTTGCTTGGCCTGCCAGCGTCAAGCGTGGTGTTTATTGCTGGAGAGATGACCAAGATTCCCAGGGAGAGGAAGCTGCTTTTGCTCCCTTTAGCCCTGTGAACCCTTCTGAGTGCTCTTTTCTCTCATCTGTATCTATAGCTGAGCCTGGATTTAATTAAGTCCAGTCTCCTTTGATGCCCAAGGCGGGTTGTTCCACGTATGGGAATCTTGCTTTTCTGGAGAGAGCGTTCCAAAGCATCGCTTCACTGGGGTTGTTTAACACATTTCCTGAGCTGGAGCAAGAAGACCATCTGCTGTTTTTGCCTTGCAGTCCCTCAGCCCCTACGCTTGCCTCCCCCCTGCCTGCACGCCTGCGCGACCCCTCAGTTCCCACCGCTCCCAGCCGGATTCAGCGGCCGACCTGCTCTCGGCGCTGAGCCAAGAGGAGAGAGACCTCATCGAGCCCGTTATAGCCCTGGGCTACCCCACCCGCAAAGCCATCCTCACCCTCCAGAAGACTGGAAGGCAGAGCTTAAGTCAGGTTGGTGGAGCTGGCGTGACACGCGGAGTGCTTTTGGTAAAGAAAAACTGGATTTTCGTGGTGGATTTCTGTGGCCTTGGGCTTCCCGCTTGGGTATCAGACCTCAGCTGACAGGGTTCTCTGTGAGATCACACGTTTGGTGTAATAAAATAGCAGTGAGTCTCCCTCAGCTTGTCAGCAAGGAGAATGGCTGAGTACTGTTATCTGCTCAATCTGCTGTGTGGAGCACTGTGTCCTTTTGAAGTACAATTTTTGACCCCGTATATGGAAAGTTTTTGCACATCATTTTTCCCTGGCTGTTAGATTCATATGATTATTGCCATGGCTCATCCTGTCAGGGTGGGACTGTACAAATACCTTGGAGATTTGTCTGGGCTCTCTCCAAAACACGAGCTGCCCATGTTGGAGCAACCAGGGAAGCCATGCAAGTGTTGCAGCTGGGTCTCAGAGCTCTTTGCCTGGTGAACCCTCTAAAATAACCTAGAATTTATTGAAAATAATTAACACACGACCTCTTCTTACCCCTGGCAAGCGTGTACATCTCAGCCCACTGTGCTGCATCCCAATGCCTGAGGTCTCTGCTTCTCCAGATGAACCCTTTGTGGTGCAGTTGGGCTTGGAGCATCTGTGCCATGAGGGATGCTGCCAGCTCTGGCAGGGCAAGTTCAGGGCTGGACCTGCCCATTCCAGAGGAGAATTTGATAGGGTTCAATCGTCCAAGTAGCTCTGGCAGCTTAGCAAGGTGGATGTTGTGCCAGGAAGCAGGAGCAGACCCTGGGCAGAGGTGTGAGCAGGCACCCAGCAGCCACTGTTGGGTGCCAGTCCCTTTGGGTGCTTCCGGGGAGCTGCCTGTGCTGCGTGGGCCAGCTCTCACCCATCTGCTCAGCACACAAAGCTGTGTGGCTGAGTCATCCTGCAGCTTCTGGCTCCCTCCTGAGTCACCCTGGTCTGGAGCAGCCCCCCCAGAGCCTCACGGGTGTGTCAGGAGAGCGTTCTGCAAGCCAAGGTGGGAAGGGAAGCCTTAGTTCTCCAGTTCATAAAGGTCTCATCTAGGCAGAGGGAGATGGGAAGAGCCCAGCCCACGTTCTTTGTGTGCAAGAATGTCTTGTAGCAGCTGCCTTCTCAAGGAGCAGCACATCTTCGTAAGGGTGGAAGTGGGTACAGTCTGCTCCCTTCTGTGTCAGCACAGGGAGAGGTGATTAATGCATCAAAATCCAAGGTCTGCCTTATATCCTGGGCCTCCTTCACCAGCAGTCCCCCATCTTTCCCATTTATGCCCAATACAGACAGGACAAAACATAAGGCGTAGTCCTTCATGTGTCTCTTACAAGTACAAAACCACCAAATTAGGCTAAACCTTCCTGGAAAACGTGTTTCAAGTCAAGTTAAAAACAAGAGCTGTAGGCACTGTTCATTGCTTGCTGGTGTCACGCGGGGTCTCAGCGTGTGACGATGACAGCTTCAGCCCTGAAGATGGATTGGAGTACCAGATGGTAGCCAAAAATTGCTCCATTTCTTTGTAGAGTCAAGTCAAATGGGCAGAGCCCACCCTCGTGGAGAAGGCAAGTCTGTTGCCTTAAGGAGGAGATGCCTTCTCCATCGTGGTGGAAGAGCCTCTCTAAAAGGCTCAAGCAGGGTCAGTTGCCCCTACACACGAGAGGTTCATCACCTAGGATGTCATGGTCAAGGCTAAACCAAAAATGAGCATCCATCTCCCCAAACAGCCTTAAGAATGGGGTTCAGAGCACAGTGTTCACCATGGGACACAGCCCACTGTGCCAGCCACCTCCTGGCCTCCTGCACAGGTCGGGGGCCTCTTCCTGTGGATTGTTAGACTCTTGTGATAATGGAGCAAAAGATGTGCTCAGCTGTGCTTCCACAATGTGCTCCTTCCCCTGGTGGAGTGGTTGGTGGTAAGGCAGTTGTTGGAGCACCTGAAGCAGGGACCTCATGGGGATGGGCCTTTCTGATGGACGTGGGCCAAAGTGGGACAGGGACATGGAAGATAAAACCCACTGGAGGAGGGGTTCTGTTTACATCACTGGGCATGCTTGTCTTTGAACAGCTACACTGCTGCACGTAATGTCAAGCAGCAGCACATGAGGGAAGAGATACATCAGCAAGTTACTGATCTACCAAGCCTGGAGGTCTCTTCCCACATGAGCAGTTCATGGCAAGGGTATTGGGCTGGCCGTGCAGTGGCTAAAGCCAAGCTCTCTAGGGGTGCCTGCACTGCAGGAGCTTCATGTCTGAGCCTTGTGAAGAGCCTCCATGAGAGCTACAAGGGGAGGAGGATCTGCAAGAGGGCAGAGAAATCTCCTCCTTCTCCCCAGTGAGTAGCGGGGCTGTTTCTGGACCCAGGGGGGTTAACAGGTCATAGCATTCAAAAGCCTGATTTTATTTAGTCTTGAAAATATATAGATTACTTTTCTAATGATAAAAACCATTGAGTTGACAACACCCCAGTCTCATGCTGGGCTTGAACAGGCTGCCAGGACTGTCTGTGTTCTGGCAGGAGCACAGCAAGCTGCTGTCCCTGCCACAACAGGGCAAGAAAATGCAGCCATAATCCAGGGTTTTTAGTTAGTAAGGCAACGAGGAAAATAAAAACAGATTATGAATGCCCATGACGAGTGACTATCTCAGTTTGAGTTAATAAATCTCCCCTTAAGGCTGACATTTCGTGAAGTCCTTACTCTGCTGTTTAGCCAGACTAGATCAGCTCAACATTCGAGGGACTTTTTTGGCTTTTTCCTATGTTTTATGGTCTTTTACTGAATCCTTCTCCTTGGCTACGGCACTGGTGGGAGGGTGGAGGTCTGTGTGCTGGTGGATCTGGGGAGACATGAATCAGCTTGTCCTTGGATGAAGAGGGCACGGCTTCAGGGAGACCCGTGGGAGGGGTTTGTTCCCTTTGCTATTGTATAGCTCATTTATTACTGTCTGTCCCATATGTTTTTGGACAGTGAATGATTCTTGTGGTATTTAAAAGATACCTCTGGGAATAGTGCTGTCAGCACTCCAAGAACAACGAGGAAAGCCAAAAATAACTGTTTACTTTCAGTAATGACAGCACACGGGTCTCCCCTGGGGTGGGTTTTGTGCTCGGGCCCTGGAGCAAACCCCTGGGTGCACATCAAAGGGATGCTGGGTTGTCCAAAGGTAGACGTCTCCCTGGGACAGGATCTGCTTCACCCACAGCCTGGAGGCCATTGCTTTGTGTCTCAGATGGTTCAGATGTTTAATTTGGTCCTCGTCCCTGCTCCACCTTGTTCCTGTTCCTTCCCTGGGAGGGTGGGGAGGGACTGAGGTATTTTCTCCTCCTGGTGGGTGTCCTGCTGGCAGACACACCACGCTGGCTGAGGCTCAGACAGGAACCAGCACGGTGGTGGCCACGTGCTCCCCATGAGCATTTCCCTGGGAGGTGGCACCTGGGGCTCCTGAATGCCCTTGCTCCTCATGTCTGCGAGGCTGGATTAACCCTGGTGTCTTCTTCTGCAGTTCCTGAGCTACCTGGGTGCCTGTGACCGGCTGCTGAAGCAGGGCTACGAGGAAGGGCAGGTGGAGGAGGCCATGGAGATGTTCCAGTACTCAGAGAAAAAGGTCAGAGCCATCCCTTAGTGCTGCACCCTCCAGCACCCTGGCCCCCCTTTCCATTCACCCCTAAGGAGGAGAACCATGGTCACACGCCAGGCATTGGTCTCCATCAATCTTCATCTCCCCCATCAAACTCCTCCTGGGGAACAATGAAGAGCCTGGGAGGGGTAGAACTGCTTGAAATTTGGGCTGGTGGTGTTTGACAGCACACAGCATTGCCAGGCTCACCTCTCCTTAGGTGGGAGGGTGCCTGGGTCTCGGTGTCAGGCAGGGGGTTAGTTGCTGAGGACGTGGCTCCAGGAAATGTTGTGGTGCTGGGGCCCAGCGTGAGCCAGGGGGGAAGCAGGACAAATTAATTCCAGCTTGTGCTTGGTGCCTTTCCGTGGTCTCTTTATAACACAGGCAAACACCTGTGTGGAATTCAGATTAAACTTTTTATAAGTGAAGCTAGTGGCCTGTATGAAAGCTAAGGACTTTATTAAATATTCTCATTTGAAAAGCTGGTGGAGAGGCACCCTCCTGCAGGCTGGCAGTGGAATGTGTGTCCCTGCTCTGCTGTCGGCGTGCCCTTCAGTGGTAATACAACCCAACCAGGTCATCTGGCTGCAGCCCTGTCACCCAACACTGTTCCTGCTGCACCTCTGCCATAAATCCACCCCTAAACCCCCTGATAACATCGCTCCTTTCTCTTCCTTCTTCCTCCAGGCAGCTGAATTCTTGCATTTGTTAGCTCAGTTTAACGATATGGGTTTCCAGCAAAATGAAATCAAAGAAGTTCTTTTGCTTTGTGGGAATCAGAGGGAGAAGGCTCTGGAAGAGCTCGTGATGAAAGCCCAGTGAGAGGATCCTGGAGCCCAGTCACAGCTTCCCCTCTCCAGACTGGACCACGGAAGGACTCGGGGGGTCTGACACGCCCTTCTGCTGCTCCATCCCCACCCCGAGCAGCACGCTAGGGGCACCAACTTGCAAAGCACCAGCTTGGTGTCTCATCTCTACTTGGTGGACATCCATCATAAGCATGTTTGTTCCTGCTTTGTAGCAGGAGTGTTTATCTCCACCCACCATCATCTCAGATCTTCCCATTAGATGGAACAAGATCCAAACAGCCTCTGGCTTTGATTTTGCAGACCCCAAACCACAACTTGCTCCCTCCACCTGGGCTGATGGGTGCTGTGCTTTCAACTACAATCAAATGGGGATTCTTAAAAGATTACATAAATGGCCAGAAGAAATTGTTTTAATAAAAACTGAAGGCTCCAGCAGAGATATTTATTGGTCCTTGCTTGGGAAAAGTCTCAGTTGACTTAGTCATGGTTGAATATTGTCATTGAAATCCAGTCCAATCACATTAGCTTCTCCTTTTAAACCAGAGACTTGAGAAAAATACACAATCCAGTGAGGGTAAGGAAGGAAAACAGGCCGCCCTTGCTCTAGAAATTCATGAATTTTATCCAGTGTGATGAAAAATCCCTTAAGTGAGGGTTTGTGCTCAAAGAAATGAATGACATCAGAACAGAGGGACAGGGAATGGCTCGGCTGCCCTTTGCTCTGCCCACATCAGGACTATTCAGGGGTTGCTTCCCTAAACTGTGGAGACAGTGGCTCCAAATGAAGTTAAGCACGGATGTCAGGATCAGGAAAATCTGGATGCATGGGGGAATTCTTATTCTCCTGTGACTGGAGGATGGGGAATGGGTGACCCAGGTCACCTTACGGGCTGCGTCCCTTGGCGCCGTGGTGGAGCAGTGGGCAGTGCTTTCACATAGGAGTATATGATTTTCCTGTGAGTTAGATACAGATGTCATTTGTTTGAGTAAAGATGGTTGGAGGGGTTCTTCTGAAATGTATTTGTGTCATTTCCTGTGAAAATGCCAACAGGCACAACCCAGCAGAGCAAATCCTTCTTGAGTTGCATTAGTACCACATTTCCCTTGTATCCTTCCAAACGCTGTCCTAGCCCAGCATCCTGCCATTGAGCTCAAACACCCTGTCCCTTCTCCCTCTGTCCCCACGCAGGTGCCAAACCCCATCAGGAGGGTGCAGCCCACCCTGGCTGCCTTCATCCTCACCCAGATACAATGGGGGAACATGGCATCCTTGTTTTGGGGGACTTGACCCGCCTATACCCAAGGATGCTTTATACTTGCTCTTCTTTAATGGCCTTGGAAAGGGTGATGTGGCACGTTGTATGACCAAGGGAAATACTGTGAGGAGCTCCCAGGCTGCTCTCAGAACTCACAGTCCTGTTTTTCCTCCAGCTTTCCCTTGCTTATACAAGCTTTTATTTTTGATACAGCCCTTATAAGGCAAGTCCATTCTACAGGCAGCTTTTCGTTACATTCATCCTTGCCAAGATGATGTCACCTTAAAAAGGAAACTTGCAAAAGGTTAAACTGTGATTAGATAGATCCCTTTGCCTCGAACTGTAATCTGTGTTGGAGCAAACGCCATGCAGATTGGAAGGGGGAGATAACAGTGTCGTGCTGGTGCCTGGAACACGGGACACCGAGGGCTGGATGCTCATCCTGCCCACTCGCTGTGCAAAGGCTGAGCAGCTGCTCGCTCTCCTCAGAGATTTGCTTGGTCCTGGCTCATCATCTGCCCCCCCTGCTTGCAGAGGTAAGAGCCGTGTCTTTTTCCCTCCCTGTGCACCTCAAATGATCTCCTGTTATTTTCTGTGTCACAGTGTCGGACTCGATGATCTTAAAGGTCGTTTCCAACCTAAACGATTCTATGGTTCTAGGAGCTGGGTTGATGGATGCAACAAACTGCTCCTTTTGGGAGCATCCACTCAGCAGTGCTGCCCAAGACCTTCTCTTTCCCCCCAGTGCTACACTTAAAAGCTTAAAACCTTTTGCATTTTGTCGGCAAATATCTTTGTAAACTCCTGAACTGTCAAAAACAACCCAGCCTGTGAAGGTGGGGGGAGAGGTTGTAGCACTTGCTGGTGTTGGAGCTGGAGGGAAGAGCCTGCCAAGGTCAGCTGTCCTGGGTCAGCCACAGCAGCCCATCATAAATGTTTTAGTAACAGATTTATTTTAACTTTATTTTAATGGAGTGTTTAAGCTGTTTGTTCAACTTAAAGTGGTTTTAAAGCAGCGTGCTTCCATCTGAAGAGATGCTGCCCAGAGAGGCTGTGGAGTCTCCTTCTCTGGAGAGATTCCAAACCCACCTGGCTGTGACCCTGGGCACCCTGCTGTGGGTGAGCTGCTGGAGCAGAGGAATTGGACAAGATGATCTCCAGAGGTCCCTTCTGACCCTCACCATGCTGGGACTCTGAGACGTGCTGCCTTCAGTTAGAAAAAGACAGTGTGATGTTAATTGGCTTTGTCTAGGAGTGGAGCAAGGATTTGGCTTGATGGGCTTCC